TAGTAGTGTGTGTGTGTGTGTGTGTGTGTGTGTGTGTGTGTGTGTGTGTGTGTGTGTGTGTGTGTGTGTGGTAGAGGGGAGAAATGTACCATTTCTGCAATGCAAAAAAGTGAACATGTGTGTTTCTGGTCGTAGATGTCAATCTCTGTCTGCTGTATAGTCTATATATCTCATGCCAGGAGAAGTATGTTCTCTACTTTTTGCATAACAGGCAGAATCTGTCTTTCTGGTGGCACAAGTGTGAAGAAAGAAACACCTAAGTGATTCCAGGCAGTCGTCATTTTCACACTTTAAATCAGAAAATTAAACACCTATAAAACTTGGATGTGTTTTGACTTCATTGTGAAATAAATGAATGTGCATATTTTAAAAAGAACGTGCGTGTGTGTAAGCACCACTTTATATATGAAAAGGACGCTTCATGGTTCTCAAAATGTGTCACTTTGTGAGAAAAATATTTTATATTTAATAAATACAAATTGGTTATTTTAAATAATCTGAGAGACAACCTGATGCATGTGCCATGTTATAAAACTCTTTAAATACCACTTTCACTGTTTGTGATCTAACTTCCAAACTTTAATGACCCTACTGTAAAACTCAATTAAATTATTATATAGGAGTTTAACTTCAAGTGTTGCTTAAAAGTGATCCATTAAAGTGTTTAATGGCTAATTAATAATTGTTTGCTACTTTTCACCCCATTAAAGTTTATTGAGGGCTCAATTCTGCCACTCATACTAATGCTGAATCTTCTCATTGAAATCAGTGGGACTAGCTGCGTAATAAAGTGATACTTTGGTTTGAGGAAGGGTGGCAGAATCTGGCCCATAGTTTATATACATTGATACGATATCCAATCGTATAACCAGCTTTGCAACACTTGATTATTCTGCTGGCTGGCTGTTTTTAACTTCTGCTTCTGTTGGGAGCAAGAATCTAATTCTCAGTTTTTTATTTAATAAACACCAGCTTCTAGGGCAAAGTTTTTCACAATAGTAACTCAGGAAACTGATAGACTCCTTGGTGCTGTTTGTGTAATTGACTGAACAAGCTGTAAAAATGAAATGACCGCAAGACAATGAGTACTCTAGCTCCAATCCTGCAAAACACTTAAGGGCCTGCTTAATTTTAAGCATGTGCGAAATAAGAGCTCTATCCTGCAAGGTGCTGAGCACATTAGGCCAGTCTACCAAAACACTTACGCATGTGCTTAACTTTAAACCTTTGGGTAGTCCTACTGACTGCCTGGGTCTACTAACATGCTTACAGTTGAACACATGCTTAAGAGTTCTGCTGGAGCGAGGCCAGAGTGTTCAGCATGTTGCAGGATGGATTCATACGTTTCTAGTTATAAAATAGAGAAAAGTAAGACTTATCAGCTGGTGTTTTTCAGATGGCTAATTATCCTTCTGATAAAATGCTGTGTGGATAAATAGGCGCAGTGCTTTGTGAATATGCTGCTTTAAGAGCTGTGCCTAGTGAAAATATAGTTTGTGGGCAATGAAAGAATATATTACATATCAATGTGGATCTCATGTGAAGATACCATAGACCATTTTCTTACCAGTGGGACTAATGGGTATTAAAACTACTAGCAATTAGGAAAAATAACACCCCACTCCTCCAATTACCTAGCAGTTCTATTTCTGCATAGAGAGCCTGGCAGTTTAATAAAATAAACTGTGAAATGAATGAGAACATGCAGGGTAAAAAAGAATGTGTCAAACAATTTTTCTTCTGTTGTTTTACTCACAGTCGTTTTTTTGTTTTTGAATGTACACTTGATTTTTGCCTAAGCAAATGCCTTGTAGCCAGTTGTCATTGTTTTGTTTCTAAAGAACAATAGGGATTTATTTTAGCTTCTTGTTTTTTTCTGACTAATTAGATGTCAAACATAGTTAAAACATGCAGGCATTTGGCTTTAAAATTTCCAAAGTGATTCATGAAGGGTTAAATCCCTGCCAACCTTAATTTCCTATGGTCACTTGTTTTCAAAGGTCCACTATTAGCTCTGTCATTTCTCAGGTTGCCAGATAGACATTTCAGTGAACTCCCATTCTTACTTTCTTTTGACTTCCCGTTGCTCAGTCTCACAGATTAGAAGTATCATATCGAGCACATTTTGTGTAGGGCAAGGGAGGGAGTCCATGTAATAAATATATTATAAATTGGGCCACCTTTATGGAAGAGGGACCAAAAAGATGCTTTCAGGTTCATTGCAGAAGTGACATGTTAGAAAAATGGGGTCTCTTGGCTTTGTAGCAGTCAGATTTGGGCACCTCACCAGGGAAAGCAAATATGGGGCGAAAAGAGATGACATCCTGTCCTTATTGAAGTCAATACTCGCAAAACTCACATTGACTTCAGGAGAAGTCAGGATTTCATCCCATAAATCTCAAACACAAACATTTCGCGTAGGTCCATGAATGGAAAGAGATCTGGCCCAGACAATATTTCTTTCGGATTCTTTTCATTGACTTCTGTGGGCTTTGGATCATGTCCTAAATATGGGGAAAAAATTAGCTTAAAACTATTGCAGGTTAAACTGATCCCCACCACCTCCACCTCCCTTTTGTAGCTATTTAAGGCTGCATCTGGTGAAATAACAAAAAGAAATTTAATTTCCAAGACGCAAAGAAAGCCTTTCATAAAACAACTGTTAAACAGTGAGGAAATAACATGTTCTTAAAGTTTCTTTTTATCCCAATGACTTGTGTTTCAATGAACAGTGTAATGAGCTCTACTATGTTATTAGGTTGTAGGTTCTGTTCAGAAAGCATCTATTATATAGAGAGTTCTCTGTGTGATGGTGATCAAGTTGTGAGTGCAAAGTTTAAAACAATAAATATAGTCTTAGCTCCACATGGATTTTTCCTTTCTTTCCTTCCCTTTTTTCCCATCTGCTCCATCTCTCTCTTTTTCTTTTATGCAGTGAACCAACAGCATAAACAAATGCTAGATCTAGCTACAAGAAGTTTTGTTTTTGTTATTACTAAAAAGAATTCCCATTAAAATACCTTGTTTTGTAAATCTCTCCCCAAGGCAACTCTGATTTTTGTCATGAGTAAATCTTGTGAACTCAAAGTTTCTCATATCCATCTGTCTCATCCCATTTGTTTATTGAAAATTTCTAAATCCTCTTAGTATGTTTGGTAAAAGTACATATGTGGTTCTTTTTTTTTATTGTTGCTCAATTGGATGCACGTTACTTAAGAATAAGTAACTGGACGAAGATTGCATGTAGATTCAGTTGTACTACTCCCTGGTTTGCATTCAAGCCATAGTAAAAATAGATATTTTGCCTAAAATTGGAATGAAAATAAGAGCTGCCCCCAGACTCTGTGTATGATCAACCTACAAATGTGCCAGAATTTCATTCACTCTCTTATAGACAAATAGCACTGAACTATCTGGGTACATGTGAGTCTACGTATAATATTTAATTGGTAAGGTAGTTTATCAACTTGTCCTACTTGCACTTGATAACTTGCAGGTGTTTTTTTCTCCCTAATTCTATAGCCAGCCACATAATACCACTACAAAACAAAACAAAAAATCAGAGAGCATTTTAGTAAGAGCATTAATAATGTACAGGGCCTGATTGGAGACATGTCTCTCCTCACTTAATATCAGTTTGTCTCAAAACTCAAGATACCCGTTTACAGGTCTTATAATTAAATTACATTATGCATACATCGTCCTCTCTGGAAACCTCTCTTTTCAGTCTCATTGTGAAGAAGATAAGGGAACTGAGAACTTGGAAAGAGGA